CCCAGCTCCAAGGGAAAATACCCAGCTTCTCTTCCTGCTCCCTCTCCAAATCACACAGAATCCTCTGTGCCCGGAAGTGGGGGTCTTCCCCACGATTTGTCAGCGGGGGACACTCCTTCACCCGCATGGAGCTGCTCATGGAGCCGGGTGTCTCTCGTGAGCCTCTGAGCGGGGACAGTGTCCCTCCTTGGGTGTGATGGGTTTCAGAGTGGCACACGGAACTCGGGGGACCCCTTAACTTTCTGGTTTACTACAGGAGGATGCTGAAGGGCAGCTGTTACCTTCCAGCAATCCCAGCATGTGCCACTATCACCCACTCCCCAGCCCAGGCTTTCTGCCAGGGCCTGATGGGTGACATCACTGGCCCTCCGGGATCCCCACCCTCGACCCCTGCCCATCGCTGACTGCCTGGTCCTTCATCCAGACCGAGGGTCATCAAGCAATTCTGCACACAAAGGACACATCACTGCCGTCTGCCTGGAAGCAGGCCTGGAAGTCAAGGGCCCAGCTGCTGCGAACCAGCGCGAGGTCTTCAGCCTCTTGGGCCTCAAACACTGCCACGACTTCCCAGGGCCATTTTAAATCATTACTATCTGAAATAACTGACCCTTCTGGGAAAGGTGCAGAGCTGGTGAGAAGTCCTGTCCGCCCTCACCCAGACCCACGAGGTGTGACACCCTGCCTGGCCTCCCCAGGACACTGAGCACCGTGCACCGTGGACACGCCAGGATTCCCGCTGATGTGGCTTCTGTCCCAGGGTGGTACCCGCACTTCCGGGAGGGCTTTACAAAAGAGCATGACACTGCAGAAGCAGCCGAGTTCATGACAGCCCACAGCCTAAGGACCAGGCCGGGGCTGAGTCCCTTGAAGCTGGAGAGAGGGTGCCAGGGCAGAGGGTGGGGCTGGGACTCAGGAGAGGCCCGGGGTTCCCCAGGAGGAGAAGCCACCTTCTCCTTCCTAGGACAATCACAGCATAAACCAGAGTTCGCAGGGGAAGTGAATGAACTTAGCACGGCCATCTCAAGGCAGAACAGGAGCTGAGGGCGCAGCCCCTGCAGGGGTGGCAGCAAGGAGTGGCAGCAAGAGGTGGCCCCTGACTCAACTGAGTGCCATTAATTTCCTCCCACTGCTGACTTAACTGCCCACCTGGGCAGCATGCCCATCCCGCAGGCACCTGAGACCCAGCACATACCAGGGACCTGGCTTGTGCAGGGCCGGTGGAAGATCTCGGTGCTGGCCTGGGGCTCCTGGCTCACCTGAAAGCAACTCTACCTGCCCCACTCTCCCACCACTCGGCCTGTGGCTCCACAGCCAGTCAGCAGCGGGCTGGGCAAGACCACCACGCAGCTGCCGGCCCAGAGCCAGGTGCAAACTGAACCGGCTCCAAACTCAACCTGACTTCCGAGGGGACGCCAGCCAGCCTCACAGTCAAAGCAAAAGGCCCATCTCGGAGCTTTATCCAAAATGCTCCAGTCAAAGATGGACTTTTCCAGATGCGAAGAGCCTCCTAGCAGGGACCCCTCTGCCACCCCACACCCCACACTGGGCTGGAAGCAGGGTTGGCCCACACCGCTCTTCCCCATGGTGCTCTGTTCTTTCAGCTGCCCACCCTCCTTTCTTCCTCCTCAGACGTACAGTTAGACAGCCTTTTGCTTTTTAATCTTTTAGCAAAGCTTTTGTTTCAGCTCTAGAACTTTTTCTTCAATTCCACATTTTCTTTCTCTCTGTCTGGCTTAAGTATATCCGCCAAGCAGTGCCAGACCTGCTTTCCTATCTGTTTCCTGCCTGCTCTCTGTCCACCTCAGCATGGGCTGCAGATGACAGATCCCATGACGGTTTATTAGGCCGAGTCAGCCACCTCCCAGGGAGAGCTCCTTCACTAGTCTGTGTAGGGCTGGGTGTGCAGGAGGGGCCTTGGGAACCCTACCAGCGGCCCAGATTCTGTACAGCAGGTGGTGGCAAGTGATTTCCAGCTACTCCTCTCTCCTGAGCACCCCACAAGTAGACGGGAGGCCTTGCTTCTAGCTGTGGCCTCTCCGTGGGGAGGCGAAGCGGGTGTTGCACAGCGTCAGTGAGTTTTGCAAGGCTGGAGCCATGTGGAAGCCATAACTGGCCCCTGGTGGGTGTGGCAGCTGTGGGGACCTCCCCACTGGCTAGTGTCCCCTCAGCTGTGTTAATGAGGTGGTCGCCCAGCCTGTCGCTATCTGATGTCAGGGAAGGCCTTTGTTCTCTGGAATTCTCTTCCTCCAGAATCACCAGGACTGAGCCTCAGAACTTCAAGGCTTCCTGAGATAAGCAACAATGCTTGGCGCTCCCCGGGGCAGCTGCAGCCCGGCTTCTAAGTCTGTGAAGGTCAGGGCTGTGTAGCCCCTCTGTGAAGGTCCCTGAACTCCCCTCTGGCAGGCCAGGCAGACACCTCCCAGCCCCGAGCTGCGCCAGCTGCCCCACTGGGCATCCCGACACACTTCACAGGGTCCTCTCCTGTGCCAGCCCGAAGTCCGGGAGAGGATGCTGCTTTGAACACCCTGTCCAGTGGGCAGTGCCCCTCCGCCCCTCAGGACACGATCTTGTGTGCTCAGCTCCTCAGCCTTGTGTTCAAGTGTGGGCACCTCCACTGAGGGCTGCTGGGACGACAGGGTGTACGTGGAGCATCCGGGCCACACTGTGCTTGCTCCCAGCCACCTGAGAGCCTTCTGTTTCCTTCTTGCGCCTGCTCTCTGTTCCACAGCGGAGGCAGGGCGATGCCCAGTCCCAGGAACCACATGGGCCTCACTGCCAGTCCAGGACCAGGACCCAGGAGAAAGCTCTGGCCCGAAAGTCAGAGTGACTCGGAGAATGACCTCACTGCCGGCCGGGACGCCAGACAGACCCTAGGCGACTTGCAGAAAGGGGCCTTGGGCACCCTGCCTACACTGAGCCTTCTCCTCATCTGTGAGCGAGAGTATTCTCCTAGGAGGTTCTGATGTGTTAGTGCACACCAATTAGCACACAGGAAGCACTTCCTAAATAATCACCTACTTTCCCACTGACCACGTTCAGCTGCTTCTGCACACCGTTCCACGAGATACAGCCAGTGTCCTTCTCCACTGTGCTGGGACAACCCTGGGAAGAGTCCTGAGACGCTGAGCAACAAGACAGGGTCCTTGAGCCTGCCACAGTTAAGAGCAATTCAGTGAACACACTTAGGGTCGAGCGGCCATTTCATGAGCAACAGCTATGGAGCCAGTGGTCAGCGAGAAGTTAGTAAGTAGAAGTTACTTAGTGCATAGTTGAACACAGCAAACCATGTGTCTTTTGAAAGAATAGCACATGTTAACACTCCACAAGTAAAATATTTACTTGTCATTATTTGCAGATTTGTAATCTAAAACCCAAAGAAGTAAAATAAATTGGCAAGCGACTCCTGCCACTTCTCAACAGTTCTCCAACTCTGGCATGGTGTGGGAATGTGGGCTTCCAGAATGTTCTGCGGGAGACCCCAGGCAAAGCCAGAGGTCTGGATTGGTTTTTTTTTTTGTTTTTTTTTGGTACCAGGGATTGAACTAGGTCTGGATTGTTACCAGCCTTTCTGGGAGGCTCTATCCCGAGGGCTGCCCTTCAGGGAGCTCTGCCGGGCAGTAAATGCTCCTGGCCTTCAGGGACCAAGATCTAGAGGTTGAGGGTGAGCTTGGGCCTGCAGGACGTGGGAGGCAGGGCCCCAAAAGGGCACATGGTCCCCGAGACAGGATGGGGACCGCTACTTGTGCAGTGTGGAAACTGAGGCTGGGATCATCAAGTACAGGTAGAGTCATGTTTCAAGCCTTGGTCTTCCAACAGGAAGCCGCTTCCGCCAGCCATAGGGCCAGCCCCCCAAGACTTCGGACTCCCTATTCTGAGGGACAGAGGCACTGGTTCATGGAGGAGGTTGTGGGCTAGGGATGCAGCTCCAACACCACCTGGTGCTTCCTAGGGACCCTCTGCTGTGTGTGCGGCTGCCTGGCAGGCACACCTGGGCTGCTTCAAACTCCCGGCTCTCCTCTTCTTAAGTCCAGCTGAGCACAGGAAGGAGCCAGCCGGCCGAAGAATGCTTTGACCTGAACTGCGCTGGTTATAGTCCCTGAGCCCCTCGGTCTCCATTCCCTCTGGGTCCTGGGCCCCACCGAAGGCAGCTCTTCCCCCAGGAGTGCTCTCCCCACTCCCAGCCTCTGAGGTCCTTACTTATTTCATTTTAGGACAGAATAGTGTGAAAATCAAAGAAGTGATAAAACGTGAAAACGGTTTCCGGTGTCCTTTTGAGCTCTTAGCACCTACGCTAATTTCCACTAGGACCCCCACCTGGGGTGCTGGCTGCAGCCCAGACCAGCTTCCAGCTGACACCCCCACCCCAAACAGACCTGGGTGCAGACTGGGGATGCCCTCTTCTGTGCACCACGTGCCCCCGAAGAGGCCCAGCACTCCTGTGACATTTTAGTTCAACAGAGCCACTGCTGCAATTTAAACAAGGCCGCTGGCGGTGGCGCCACACCCAGGCCCGGAGAATAATGGCAGGGCTACCTGGGGCGCTGAGCCACAGGTGAGCGCTCTCAGCAGCGCTGGCCCAAGTCTGGAGCACAGCTTGGGAGGAAGCACGGTCTCCTCCCCCAGGCCCTGGCAGAGGTTAAGTCCAGTTCTTCTCCTAGGCCCGCCCATTCCCTCAGCGTCTCGCTTTTCAACACCAAAGAGCCAGGCACTCTGCCTCGACTCTGGGGCAGACCCGCACTCCTCTCCCTTCCTTTTCCCAGCTTCTGGCCGCCAGTGCCCCGACATTCTGCTCTAACTCCTACCCGGAGCTTCGTTCCAGGAAACCAGAGAAAGGGCGCCCCAGGCTGTGCTTTGCACAGTTAACTCCTGCGCTGGGCCATGCCTGGAGTGCACGGGACGCAAGACTCACACGCACACCCACCCTCGAGCGCGCACACTCAAGTGGCTCCGCGCGGCCCCACCGTTCCGGCGCGCACTCCAGCGCGTGGCGCGGGACTTACCGCCAAGACGCTGTGGGCCAGGAACCCCGCTGTCACGGCGCCCAGCAGCAGCCACCTGTGGGAGGGAGGGGGAGAGGACGTGAACAGGCCAGCCGGGCTCGCCCACTCCTGAAAGTTGCGCGCGGGGGACCGCGGGGTTCGCTTACCCGCGCGGCACAGGGCCCATGGCGAGTCCGCGGGTGCAGCTGGCGCGGCTCCGTCCCTCCTAATCCTGCGGCCAAGACAAAGCGAGTTAGCAGGGGTGGGGGCTCCCGGCACCAGGCTGCG